ACTGAACTTCTCTTAAACGACTGGACCGATTTTGATGAAATTTTTTGTGTGTGTTCAAGGGGATCTGAGAATGGTTTAGATTCACAATTTTGTCCGCTGGACAACCCCTATTTTTTTAGGGCGGTACGAAGTTCGCTGGGTCAGCTAGTATATATATATAAATCAATTGCTGTTCGTTAGTCTCGTTAGTCTAAAACTCGAGAACGACTGAACGGATTTATCATATCTTGGTCTTGAAATGATCGTGGAGGTCTAGAGAAGGTTTAAAAGGTGAGAAAAATAATTATATAAAGAAATTCATTGTGTATAATACAAGCCTGAGAACAAAAACTATAGGCTACCTACACTACAGCTCTACACCGAAGCGAAGCGAGGGCGGGCCTCTAGTAAAGAATATATACACAAAATATTTTTTTGTTTTTGAGATTTGTCTTTTATATTTATATTTACTGTAATTTTGAACACAATTAATAATCGTAGCTGATGAGGTTGATAAGTTATTTTTTAATACAGTTGCTCAAAAAGTGGCGTATTGCAGGGACGTGTAGCGTTCGGGATCTGGGCTATTTCACACTCGTGCTTTTTTTTTGCCTTTCCCGAACTCGTGCGTTTTCTTTCCCAACTGTCAAAATTATTTCTATTAAAAAAAACAACCATGAAGTTTTAACTAAAAAAAATCATAGAAGTTTTTGCGATTCATACAAATAGGTTTATTTGTTTTTAAAAAGAAGCTACCTATACTAATTTGTCCAATATCAGAATTAATTAATTGATTGAATGAGTTAGGTAAGGTTTCAGTTCATTTCATATCATTAAATTTCAATTTCATTTCTTATAATAAAAAATACTAAGTACTAAAGACTTGGCTGTATGGGCAGTTCCCTTTGCCTACCAGAATGGGTGAAAAAAAACCGCTTACATTCTACGGTTGGCGCCATTTTCCGAAATTTTCTTTGCGAGTTTAGTTGTTTTTTACACAAAATCAGTAATTTCGACCTAAATTTTTTTGAATTAACTCCACCGGAACTCAGTATAATTGCACAAAATGCTTCGGAGAACATTTTACCGGAAAAGTCAAAAATTCGCTACATATCTACATACGATGAATTTATTGCGTGGAAAGAAGAGAAAAAGCAAATAGTTTTTCAGAAAATGTTATGTTGGCATACTTTTCCGAACTCTTAGCAAAATTAAAACCTTCTACGTTATGGTCAAGGTTTTCGATGATAAAAAGTATGCTGAAAATAAGGAACAACGTGGATATAAGTCAATATCCAAAATTAAATTCTTTCTTAAAACGACAATCAGATGGGTTTACCAGTAAAAAGTCGAAAATATTAACATCGAATGACATGGAAAGGTTTTTGAAAGAAGCTCCCGATGATTGTTATTTAGCCACAAAGGTAATTTATTAAAAAGTATACATATCTACATTTTTCTTTAGTGTTCAGTTTACAAAATCGCAAAATACAGTCAATACATTATTTATATGAATCAAATCGTTTTTTTTAGGTTGCTCTGATTTTTGGCGTTGTTGGAGCTTGCCGCAGAGAGGAGTTAGCCAATATTACTTTAAAAGATATTGAAGCCCATGGAGAAATGCTACTTATCAAGATTCCAAACACAAAAAATAAGATACCGCGAAGCTTTGTTGTTGAAGGAGATTTTCTCACAATAGTGAAAAAATATATGAACCAGCGGTCCCAAAAAGGAAAATCCGACCGTTTTTTTCAAAATTTCCAAAAAGGGAAGTGTACAGCTCAAGTAATCGGCATAAACAAATTTGGTAATATGCCAAAAGAAATAGCTACGTTTCTTGGTCTGCCGGATGCTGAGTGTTATACTGGGCACAGCTTCAGAAGGACCTCTGCTACATTATTGGCAGATTCAGGAGCCAATTTGACGTCCTTAAAGCGACTAGGTGGTTGGAAATCGGACAAAGTTGCAGAAAGCTATATTGGTGATTCATTAAACAACAAACTAGAAACTGGGAAAAAGATCACACAATCCATTAATTTAAGGTCCAGTCCGTCTCCTTCACATGCTGAAGGGAACGTTCGTCCATCTACGAGCACCTTCGTTGATAATGATAATTCATCAGATCCAATTCCATCAACTAGCAAACGCCATTGTATGACAAATATACATGAACAATCATACGAAATTAATAATACTTTGTCTCAAACAGTAAATATGCAACGTAAAACTTCCCCAGTTAGTATAAAAAACTGTACCAATTTCAATGTATATGTGAATTATAACTTTTATAAGAAATAAATGATGAGTTTATTGTGTTTTTATAATTTGATTAAATTGCTTCATTTTTTCGCAACTGTATTAAAAATAGTCGTTCAGTACACGTACGGAACCGTCATTGCAACTCGTTCCGACTGTCAACCCTCGCCTTCGGCTCGGGTAGACATTTGTCGGAACTCTTTGCAATGACAACCATTCCGTACTAGTAATGAAATATACTATATTAAAACAAAACTTACATTGCAAGTCGTCACGAGCTTTATTGGCTCCCAATTTATCTATATATGTGGATATGGGGATAACATAGGTACCATGGATTTATTTCGCGTGTAGCTTGCTTTTCCTTGTTGCTTCACCAGTTAGGTGAATATCTATGCGCGCATGGCCAGCTTTACAATTATAACATTGTAGTTGTTGTGAAATTGGTGTATTTTCTAGTCTGATGTTTATACCTTAACTTATGTTTTTCAAAGGAATCAGCTAGTAGCCCAAATTTTAAAAATGGTTAAAAATAAACCTTAATATTAATTTTATCCCTACCACATTATCTATATCATAATTTTTAATCAGAAACTATAATCCAACCGATTTATTGTTAGTGGATACAAGCTTAATCTTTATGCCCAAATCGAAAGATTTGCAATTATTCTGATCCTATTTTTCATTACGTTTTACTGAGATTAATGCAATAAAAAAAACGACGGGTTGCACTCCAAGAGAGCCGGCAGAAGTGAAAACTTGAATATTAACGTTGTGCAATTTTGATATTTTGGAATGATTAGGGAATAATTTTGCACGAATTTCTTTAATTATCAGTATAAAAGTACTATCATTTATTTGGTAGAATACAATATTTATTTATTGCGCTATCGTACACAAACATGACAATTTCTATTACATTAAAAAGTTTATCTCTCAGAATTACTCATTTAAGCGCACCTAGCGACATCTATTGTAAAAAAAATTTTTTTCGCAATAAAGCTGCCACCTGGACGTCCTAGATACAGACTTATTATTATAATACGACAAAATAAAATATTACTATGATTCGTCCAATGTATTGAAAGTCAACAACCTTTCCAATTTTATTGTGTGTCATGATGCGATCAGCCCACGTGTCTAACCTGACGCAAGTTTAACATTTTTTACCCATACAAAAAAAATGTACAACGCGTCTAAAGAAGTTTTCACTTCAAAAATTATAATGATAATCATAATTAAAAATGGAGTAGTGTAATTTTTCATTATTTACGTCTTACAATTTGCATTTCGAGTTACATAATATCCGCGCCTTCCACGGATATTTTTAAAATGAAATCATTGGCCATATCACATTGTTACCACGCTTAATCAAATACATAGCGGAGGTAGTTACAAACAACGGTGCCACATAACTCTCCCGTCTAGTGCTGGTCCCAGCAGGGTTCCGTCGTATAAAGCATACCAAACATCTAAGATTTCATGTTCTCTGAATACTAAACTTGTACTTTCGGTGATATAATATTTTGTTAATTCGCATAGAATAAGTATTTACGGAATCCGTCGTATACCGCTTACCTGCCTATTTTAGATGAAAATTATAGCGCGATAAAAAGTAACAAAAGTTACGGTGATTATTTTATTACTGTTTTAATGACAGCGGTGGACTTTATTAATTTTTTTTTTAATAATGTGTCAGTGTTTTTGCCGTCTTTCTGTGGATTTGTATGATGTTTGCTAAAGATTTATTCACTAATTGTATGCTAGTTCAATGTATCCATTACGTTGTAGTTTTTGTTTTAATAAAAGTTTTATTGTTAATTTTATTATGTATATAATTAGATTTATCTTAAAATTCGAGATTTATAATTGAATTACATATTAGGTCATCAACAGGTTTACATCTCATAAAATATAAAATTATCTTATCCGGTTTGTATATAATTGTATTTTTTTTTAGATACTTTTACGTTAGGCTGACTTCTAACGGTTCTGGGGGGGAATTGTTTTCAGCATTTAGACGTAGAGAATGGTCATGGAATGGAGCGACACTCGCATGAAATTGACAAGTCCCTAATAAGAGAGAGTGATGGTCCAGCTAACACCTATACGAACTAGCATCCGCACTATCGCTTAATCGCCTCTCTCACACTTATTTGCCCCGTTTTACTTTAAACTTAGGCGGGGAACGCTCAGTACATAAGTATGCATGTAAAACAAAACTGTTATTACGACAGTATAACACAAATCCAATTTTGCGCTCATCTTTATGTCATAATGCCCTTTTGGACATATGTATGTTTTAACAGAGGGGAAAGTTACGTATGGCTACTCCCGTCCTGCTTTCGTGTTGCTCCAACCTAAAACTACGTGAGAACTTCTGTAATGTAACTTTTTTTGAATGAATCATCTCATATTAAATTCATTTTGCAACTTTACGTCTCTGAATATAATGAAAACATAAGAAGAAGAAAACAGTCCTTGTCGAGTTTCTTATCGGTTCTTCACAGTACAAGGTCTCCCATCGTAGATATCGAACCTATGGCGTAAGTAGAGGCTTGAGGAGGAGGAGTAGGGATTGGCTAGAATGGATTTATCTTAGGTTGGTACGTGAGCTTGTGGTAGCTAAAACGATATCGGTCTTACTACAAAAAAGTAAGACACGTTAAGACTTTTGTGCTATATTTTTTCATAAACCCGTGTAGTAATTTAATAATTTTAAAGTAAATAATTAATTGTATGTATATAGTTTTAACAGGTCTCACCTGAAATAGTCATTCTTGCAGAAGATGCTGCTATCGCGCGCGTAGCAACGCTGCTCTGAGTCCAGCGGCATCTTGCACTCGCAGCAGCGTAAGCAGGGCGTGTGCCAGCGTCTCTCCAGCGCCAGCAGGTAGTATCTATCGGTGATGCGAGCGCCGCAGCCGGCGCAAGGGTCGTCCAGCGGCGGTCGGGGCGCATCCGGCCCGTCCGGCTCCCGCTTCCGACACGAGGTGCAGTCCCGAGGCGAGCCCGGCGACGTGGCCGGCGCCACGGGCGATAGATCCCCACCTCCTTCGTATGACGATATGTACCTCTCACTCTGTTGCTGGAAAATGGAAAGGATACGTCAGTTGTATGAACAGATTTTAATAATGATTTGATAGCAAATTTTATTGTACTTCAAACGACGGCTGAGATAGAAAAAATTAATACTGCCATCCCAAATAACAACCGTCATCAACCGTATATTAACTTGCCCACTACTGCAGCACAGGCTTTTCTAATGAACGGAATAGGGGAAAGGGCTCTGAGCCACCACGTGGGCGTAGCGTAGGGGAGGAGGGAAGGTGCGATAACCCCTACCCCCTCCCCCTGTACAAATGTATAGTTTCCGGGATATTTATGTATATATGTTTGGGTTTAGGATACTAAAGGTTATTTTTCGATCCACGGCTTGGCATTAGGAGGGAGATGAAAGGGGATGTATCTCCCCCCTACTCCCTTCCCCAAAAAAGCAAACACATATTAAATAACCCTCCCATCATCAAAGCTTTATTTTCTGGCTGGCAGTATCTAACAATTGAGGGTCAATAAATTAAAAGCTACTATTTAAAAATTACTTATTATATTTATGGTGACTGATTATATTTCTGACAAAAATGCTTGGGTTTAAACTGTTCCATAGGTTCCAACTGACTGGTTCTATAATAACCCAACCTAAATGATAATGACATGATTTTTTATTGACAATGCAATAATATTATGTTTTGTTAATATCTCTTATCTATTAGACAAGTCCGTCCGTCCGTGGTGCTGTTTCAGCGGCCAAACCGTAAGAGATAGATATAGAGAATGTTTAAGTTATAAGTTAAGAATAGTCTGATAAGACTACAAACCGGATGTGAGTAACGTAGCACTTCCGGTTTTCGAGAAATCACGTGATTTCTATTTCAAATGAAACCACACAAAATCTCCGAAGTTCTCAATTAATTAAATACATTTTTTTTATTAAATACTTTTTTTTTTTGGTGAACATTTGGTTCACTGGTTTGCTAGTTATTACATAATATGATTACATTCTGTCAAGTTTTTGGCGCCCGTTTATCTCCACAGCTAAAAATATCCATAACAAGTGGTAGGAAAAAAAACTTTGCCGTTTCAAAAGAGTTGTATTATGTTTCCTATTTGAATAAAGTTTTTTTTGATTTTGAGCATCTCTTCAGCTATGGACTACAATAGTATATTTCATTACTAGTACGGAATGGTTGTCATTGCAAAGAGTTCCGACAAATGTCTACCCGAGCCGAAGGCGAGGGTTGACAGTCGGAACGAGTTGCAATGACGGTTCCGTACGTGTACTGAACGACTATTTTTAATACAGTTGCGAAAAAATGAAGCAATTTAATCAAATTATAAAAACACAATAAACTCATCATTTATTTCTTATAAAAGTTATAATTCACATATACATTGAAATTGGTACAGTTTTTTATACTAACTGGGGAAGTTTTACGTTGCATATTTACTGTTTGAGACAAAGTATTATTAATTTCGTATGATTGTTCATGTATATTTGTCATACAATGGCGTTTACTAGTTGATGGAATTGGATCTGATGAATTATCATTATCAACGAAGGTGCTCGTAGATGGACGAACGTTCTCTTCAGCATGTGAAGGAGACGGACTGGACCTTAAATTAATGGATTGTGTGATCTTTTTCCCAGTTTCTAGTTTGTTGTTTAATGAATCACCAATATAGCTTTCTGCAACTTTGTCCGATTTCCAACCACCTAGTCGCTTTAAGGACGTCAAATTGGCTCCTGAATCTGCCAATAATGTAGCAGAGGTCCTTCTGAAGCTGTGCCCAGTATAACACTCAGCATCCGGCAGACCAAGAAACGTAGCTATTTCTTTTGGCATATTACCAAATTTGTTTATGCCGATTACTTGAGCTGTACACTTCCCTTTTTGGAAATTTTGAAAAAAACGGTCGGATTTTCCTTTTTGGGACCGCTGGTTCATATATTTTTTCACTATTGTGAGAAAATCTCCTTCAACAACAAAGCTTCGCGGTATCTTATTTTTTGTGTTTGGAATCTTGATAAGTAGCATTTCTCCATGGGCTTCAATATCTTTTAAAGTAATATTGGCTAACTCCTCTCTGCGGCAAGCTCCAACAACGCCAAAAATCAGAGCAACCTAAAAAAAACGATTTGATTCATATAAATAATGTATTGACTGTATTTTGCGATTTTGTAAACTGAACACTAAAGAAAAATGTAGATATGTATACTTATTAATAAATTACCTTTGTGGCTAAATAACAATCATCGGGAGCTTCTTTCAAAAACCTTTCCACGTCATTCGATGTTAATATTTTCGACTTTTTACTGGTAAGCCCGTCTGATTGTCGTTTTAAGAAAGAATTTAATTTTGGATATTGACTTATATCCACGTTGTTCCTTATTTTCAGCATACTTTTTATCATCGAAAACCTTGACCATAACGTAGAAGGTTTTAATTTTGCTGAGAGTTCGGAAAAGTATGCCAACATAACATTTTCTGAAAAACTATTTGCTTTTTTCTCTTCTTTCCACGCAATAAATTCATCGTATGTAGATATGTAGCGAATTTTTGACTTTTCCGGTAAAATGTTCTCCGAAGCATTTTGTGCAATTATACTGAGTTCCGGTGGAGTTCATTCAAAAAAAATTAGGTCGAAATTACTCATTTTGTGTAAAAAACAACTAAACTCACAAAAAAAATTTCGGAAAATGGCGCCAACCGTAGAATGTAAGCAGTTTTTTTCACCCATTCTGGTAGGCAAAGGGAACTGCCCATACAACCAAGTCTTTAGTACTTAGTATTTTTTATTATAAGAAATGAAATTGAAATTTAATGATATGAAATGAACTGAAACCTTACCTAACTCATTCAATCAATTAATTAATTCTGATATTGGACAAATTAGTATAGGTAGCTTCTTTTTAAAAACAAATAAACCTATTTGCATGAATCGCAAAAACTTCTATGATTTTTTTTAGTTAAAACATGGTTGTTTTTTTTAATAGAAATAATTTTGACAGTTGGGAAAGAAAACGCACGAGTTCGGGAAAGGCAAAAAAAAAGCACGAGTGTAAAATAGCCCAGATCCCGAACGCTACACGTCCCTGCAATACGCCACTTTTTGAGCAACTGTATTAAAAATTTCTAAACACAATCATTTTAAGGTTCAACTTTCATCTTTTTTCTATTTGATTTTCTCGTATTTTATGCTGAAGCTAGGTATGTACAATGACTTAAGTTTGAACCACAAAAAAGTAATCTCTGATCTCTCGCAAATTATTGTAGTTTTTAATAGAACACTTTCCAATTATACCGTTTATTGATCTGAATACAATACAAAATACAAAAATAATGACAATACAAAATACATGAAACATGTATTTGTTTGTCTTTAATGCTGGGGCCACACTACCGCGATAACGCGAAGATTTTCCTTTTTCGCGACGCATATAACCAAGCAATAGTCACCTTTCTGACCGTGTTCTGAAATGGGACTATTGCTTGCCCCGACTTGTCGTGAAAACGGAAAATGTTCGCGATAGCGCGATAGTGTGACCGTAGCGTTAGTGATAGTATAATCCTATCTCATGTCAATAATTACACGTTTTATTATTAATAGTGTGGTCCTCCGCAGCCGGTCCTCAACCCAGAGACCCGTTTGACCCACGGGCACGATTAACTCACAGACTAGCCTTCAGATAGCCTAGTCTTATCTTAGACCTAGGAGTTATCAATACGTATAATAATAACTTAATACCCTTTGTACTCAAACCTTAAGATCTAATAAAATCAGATAAATTTTAAGAAGGTCCAATGGACACCAAAAAAGAGGTCCAATAGGCACTTTTTGCTTTTGGGTCGAATCTTGAGGGTCCAATGGGTACTAGACCAAATGAACACGTACTATATTTACAATAAATACCTATAGGTAGAAAGGTAATTTTAATGAGGAAGTATCTTTCTCTGTTTAAGTTACGCAGTTTTATTGACATATTATTTATTATATATTACATTTGGTTATTAACTTCTTCCTGACAATGAACGACACTGAACTACTTCTGTCCTTAACGGATAGGCCGATTTTAATGATGTTTTGTTTGTTATAGTAAGACACTGAATTAGAATAAAAATTTCAAATTCCACCGCGGATTCTGCGGTAACAGGTGAGTTTATTCTTACAGAATAGCACGGCAGGGCCTTCTTTGAACTTTGATGTACTTCTTTTAAAAACATACTCCCAACATCTATGTCGAATTTAAGGTATTGCCCGAGAACATTAGTGGCATGACTGTATGTATGTATTCTCTTAAGCTCCTAGTCAAGCACTAGAGGATAACAAATACAGTAGATATATAGGTACATAATTCAATTTCGTAACAATTTTACCTTGTTCGTGAGCGATAAATATTACATAAAAAAACAATTAGCCGTTATTCGTAAACTAAAGCTGTTATTAATAGGATTGGATTCGATACGTTGTGACGGCGGGGTCACAACTGCCGCCAAAGGTTATCTCGACTTCCGTAGCAATACATTGTTACAAATAAATTGTTTTCCATGAACTTAATCTGAGCCAGAAGCGTACGCGAACATTTGCGAACGTTAATCCCATACACATTATTTACACGGATGAAAGATACACTCGAGAGCAATGAATCTGGATCACCTAAAGAATCCTAAAAGTCTCATAAACTAAGAATGCTAGCTCAATGAAATAAATTCAAATCAATAGACAATTAAATACTCCTTAAGTGAAGATATTTAAACTTCTTAGTTATTGTAAAGTTATATCATAAAACAATCTAATTTGAAAAAGGGAGACATTCGAAGATGGAACTACGAAATTACTGCATTTGTTTTTGCTCTTGTTTCTAATCTGTTATTTATCATTCATATAAACCATGTCGATAGTGTTCAATATTAATTATTCAAGCTGTAATCATGTCACTTACACCTGAAGAGTGCACCAGAATTCTTACAATGCTGGTAACCGGCTGGAGTCAGCGCGATACAGCTAGGACTGTCGGTGTGTCGCTGT